GGCAGGCCGCTCTGTGATTCAGAGGGGCAGGGAAGAGGCGGGGAGAGGCAGCCGCGGTGAGGGGCACATGCACATCACACCACACAGGCTGGGAGGGGAAGGGCTGGCTTCGCATTTATGGAATGCCAAGTTAACCCGAGCCCGTAGGAATACTGTTTCCATATATTTCGATTTTGATGAATATGTACATATTTATTAAAGAAAACATTCAAAATGTTTAATTCAGCAACTTATGTATTCCTAAGTCATGGGCTTTTACCGGGAACGAGACTGGCTGCTTTGCAGTGAGACAGTTCATTCTTGAGTCCTGGGGGATGTTAGAAGAAGGGGCGATGCTTGCAGGAGAACCCCCTAGTGGGGCAAAGCCCATGCAGGAGAGTGAGCACTGAGTGAGTACCTACTGTGTGCCAGGGGCTGTCCTTGACATTCCACCCCTACTGTTCCAACCTGTTTTTGATGTGACACATAAGGAATTCATTTTTGCATGGCCATTCAGCACACATGCATGTGCGCACACACATTCTCACATCTATGTTTTGATCAAAGTTTCACACAATTCCCTACTATGGGCGATACACGCTGATGTCATCTATCACATTTTTTAATTATTTATTTTATTTATTATTTATTATTTATTTTTAGTTTGCTATTTGGGAATGTGTGTTCACCAGACAGAGGGGAAGTGAGAAAGCAATCCACCATGTCCAGGACTCAAACTATGGTTGGTCATGTGGGAGTCCCGCGCCTATAACCACCATGCCACCTGCCAGCCCCATCTATTACATTTTAAAATTGTAGTTAACTCCCTAAATGGACTTCAGGACCTCCCACCACCAGTTCCACCCTGGTGGTCTGGAACTTGAACAGGGAAGTGATTAATTAAATCATCTTTGGACTCTCGTACCTCATGGGTTCAAGTCTGTGGCCCACAGGTTGTGGAACTTGAGTAAGGCACTTACCCTTTGGAGCTTTAGTTTCTTTATTCATACAGTAAGATCAGAACATCGGCCGCCTCGTAGCCCTGTGGTGAGGACTACGTGAGATCATGTATCTAAGCCGTGAACAAGGGCCTGGCACAAAGGCAGCTTCTAACTGAGTGCCGGTTGCTGTGATGATGGCCTTAGCGATGGCTCTAGTGTCTTGGTTGAGAAGACAAACAACAGGGACCAGCAGTTAGTGTAATGGCTATGTCGCTGGACTCCCACGTAGTCGACCACAGTTCAAGTCCCAGTCCTGGTGGCTTAAACTCACGCCGGGCACGTGTGCGTGTGTGCCCAAGATCCCAAGAGGAGAATGGAGGAGAAGGGATTGTGGTGTGGCCATTTCCCCTGGGGGCTGATTTCTTTCTTTCTGTCTCTCTGTCTCTCTCTGTCTTTCTAGCGAGTGCACGTGCCCTATAGCAAAAAGCTCTCAAAAAAAAAAAAAAAATAAAAAGGCAGAAGAAGAAGACATGACAGAGTCAGTGCCCCTGGGTTCAAATCCCAGATCTTGCCCTTGCAGTCCTGGTGAGTTCCTTAAACCCTCTGTGCCTCCAGCTCCTCTGGGGATGAGAATAGAACCCTCCTCATAGGATGATTATGAGGAATAAAATGATTAATTGTAGGGGCCAGCAGGTGGCATGGTGGTTAAAGGCACTGGACTCCCACATGGCCAACCACAGTTTGAGTCTCAGAACTGGCGGCTTGCTTTCTCACTTTCCCTTTCTCTCTCTGTCTCTCCCTGGTCAAATTAAAAAATAATAATAACAAATGGAGTTAAATAATTTAAATAATAATAATAAACCATAAAGTGTTTAGAAGAGAATTAGGCCTGTTGCAAGGTAACACCTACCAGGTAAATGATGAATAGCGTGGTCATCTTGTTTCATCCTCAGGCTTCCTTGTGAGGTAAGTATGTCTATCCCCATTGCTCAAGGGGAACGCTGAAGCCTGGAGAGCGAGATGACCTGCCAGTCTTGTAGCTAGAAGTGGTCAAGCTGGAAGTGCACATCAGTCTACTGAACCTGCAGCTCCGGGCTGGGCGAGGCTCCAGGCTCTGGGTCCCTGGGCAGAATCAATTCCCCAACCAAGGCCCTACATCCCAGGGAGTATGAACTGGCAGGTCAGTACACACCATCCCCATCAGTAGACATTATCTAGAATTTGTCCCATACTCTGCGGTGAGGACATTGAGTTGTGTTGTTAAAGAAGATGGAGCGAGCCAACTAGTACCATAGTAGTTAAGGCAAGCTGGACCCCACATGGCCAACTGTGCAGTTCAGGTCTCAGACTCAGCAGCTTGAAAAACATGCCAGGTGCATGTGTGTGCACACCCAAAGTCCCGCAAGGAGGGAGAGAAGGAGGAGCAGGGATTGCAGCATGACCATTCACCATTGGGGGAGCGCTCTCTCTCTCTCTCTCTCTCTCTCGTAAGCATACACATCCACTGGCAATTTTAAAAAAAGAAAAAAGGGACAGCAATGTAATGGTTACGTTGCTGGACTCCCACGTAGTCAATTGCAGTTCAAGTCCTTGACCCGTCAGTTTGAAACACTCTAGGTGTGTGTGCATGCATGCCCAAAATCCCAAGAAGAGAATGGAGAAGAAGGTATTGTGACATGGTCATCCTCCCTGGAGGGTGATTTCTTGCTTTCTCTCTCTCTGTCTCTTTGGCAAGTGCACATGTCCTATAGCAAAAAAAAAAAAAAAAAAAAAAACTCTCTAAAAAAAAGAGGACAGAATATAAAAATACCCTCCAGCAAACTGCCCTGTTGTCAAATTATCCTCTGTCAACCATCTCTCCAAGCTTGTGGTCACACACACACACACACACACACACACACACCCCATGTGCAGTGGCCAGAGCACAGTGTAAGGTGCTCGAACCTGGGGCTCGGGCCTTGTCCTGCTCTGGCAACCAAGGTGGCCCTAGAAGATGATCCAGTTATGTCTTCCCAAAGTGAACCCCATGGACGAGAAGTGGGGAGGGGAGGGAGGAACATCAAGGTGACGCCATCGGAGGGAGGGAAACGAATGTCAGATAATAAAAGCCAACAGTGTCTGCCATTCCAGGGTCTTGGGGTTGCCTCGCGGCAGGGAAGGGAGTGATTCTCCATGGAGCGTAGCAATGGCACTAGACCGGTGCAGGTCCCGGATCTGCTGTGAGGTCATGTGACGACCCGAACACGGCTTTCTGCCCTGCTGTCCTCAGTTGCTGCATTTGGACAACAGGCGGGGCGTGGATCCTACTCTGATGTTTCAAGTTGCTATAGATTCTCTGTGTGTCGACCTTCATTGAGCCCCCAAGACGAAGTACACCCAGAAAGGGTCTGGACCCCTCAAGAGGGAGGGTGGTAACATCTTCTGCCTCCAACAGGCACTGCGTGGAGAAAGCCCCCAGTGTGCCTCTCCGTGTCTCCCACGTACTCGGGGGTCTGAAGTCATCTCCCGGGAGCTCAAACCTTATGTTTTTCTTTGTCTCCTCCAGGCAGCACCAAATCGGCCCCTCTCAGTGCGCCCCAGCTCCTTGCAAGGTGGGTACCATGGTCTCATGCCTTCTCACGTTCCGTCTTTTCTTTCATGGAGGGTGGAAGTTAAGGAGAGACCCCCTGGACAGGAATCCCCGCACCAGCACTCAGTGGCTGAGCGACTTGGAGCAAATGACTCCACCTCCTGGGCCTCAGTCTCCCCATCAGGGGAAAAAGGGCCAGTCATGGCGCCTGCCCCAGACAATAGCGAAAGCATGAACGTGGCTCAGAAGGGGCCTGAAGCTGAGTTCGGAGAGTCTTAGCTGTCGTTTTCTTCTTTCTTCTCTTTGTTCTCCCCCCCATTCTTTTCCTCCTTTCCTTGCTCTCCTTTCCACGTGTAGACTTCTCAGTCCCTCTCTCCATCCTTCAGTGTCTGCCTTTTTCCTCCTTCCTTCCCTCGCCCTTTTTCTCTCCCCACTCCAGCCCCTCCCCATCTTCCTCCCTTCCCCGCCCTCTCTTGCTCTCTCCTTTCGTCCCTCCTTTCATGCATCAGTCCTCAGTCCCAAATCCCACACTGAGCCTTGGAGACCTGGAGATGACAGATACATAGTCCCTGTCCTTGAAGAGCTTCTGGGCTAGTGGGGAACACAGATGGCAAGCCAGCGGTATCAGCCCAGTGGCATAAGTGCACACAGGTGTGTGCGGGGCAGTGGACACTCAGCGATGGACAGGGTGTACCCAGGGCCTTCTGGGCACAGCCCTCGAGAACTGTAGTTGGATCCCGAGCGTGGCCTGCTCCGATGGCCAGCATGCCCCTCATCCTAGGTGGGGAGCCCTCAGCATCTGCGTCTTCCCTCCTTACCAAACTGAAGAAGCCCTTAGAAGGACAACAGTGTCCTAGCCCGCCGCTCCTTTTACAGGTGTTTGCAGGCAGTGAGTATCCTTGAGGACTTACGCCTACCTGCGTTTTTGTAGGCCCCAGGGTTAGAAAGCCCCACCATACTTTCCCTGCATTTTAACTTCAGCCCCGGTTTAAGTGGAGTCACTGGTTTTGATAGGAAGCAGGAGTGCTCATCTCAGATTTCCCCCTCCCCGTCTCCTAAGGAAGGGCATAAATCAGGGACATTTTTAAGTGAGGCCCTCTGCTCAGCAGGACGTCCTACCCACCTGAGCAGCCTG